ACACATGCAGGGCCACCTGTGTCTGCTGGGGAAATCCATGCTCTGGGGATGCTGGGTTGAGCCCGTTCTGGCCTGAGCTGTGATGGGCAGCTGGTGCTGAGGGTGGCCAGTTTGTAGTAGTTTGGTTTTCTCTGGAGCCCTTTTGCTTTCTTTCCTCAGGTCTGGATCACCAATGGAGGACTGGCCAGTGTTTTTACTGTGTTTGCAAAGACAGAGGTTGTTGATTCTAATGGCTCAGTAAAGGACAAGGTCACAGCGTTCATAGTAGAGAGAGACTTTGGTGGAATCACCAGCGGGAAACCTGAGGATAAGTTAGGCATCCGAGGCTCCAACAGTGAGTGGCACGTGCATGCATGTGTGTGTATGAGAGAGAAAGAGACAAGGTGAGATTTTATCTTGATAAAAAGGTATCAAATATCAAGGTAACATGAGACTTAAGTAGTTTTGTTTCCACCCGAGCATTTGGCAAAATCTCTCCACACATCAGGCAGTGATGACTTCAAGGTGAGGTCGTCACCACCTTGTGGCGCTCAGCCTTGGAGCGAGGTGGTGCTGGGGGTCCTGGGTCAGTGTTGCAGTACAGCAGACCCCTATCTTTCCAGCCTGGGACTCCTCCTTCCTCCCTTCTCCCTCCTCCCCACCTAAGCCCAGTCGGCACTCAGTTCACTCGAGGCTGGTATCCTGTAAGTGGCTCTCGGCCCACCTGGAGCTGCCCTGTGGTCCTCACGAGGCTCAGCCTCTTGGGTCCCTTAGCTCGGACTGTGGAGGGTCTGAATGAATGAGCGAGTGAGTGAATGAACCGCGTCCCTCGAGTGGGGGTCAGGGGTAGAGCGCTTCGTCCCCCTCAGCTGAGGTCCTGGATGTCATGTGTTCCAGCCTGCGAGGTCCACTTTGAGAACACCAGGGTGCCCGTGGAAAACGTCCTCGGAGAAGTTGGAGGCGGCTTTAAGGTGCGTTGCCCTGCGTGTGCTGACCTTTGTTGCGGTCTCGTGTGCGTTGGCCCAGCTTCCCGTCACCTCCCTGCTGGCAGTGCACTGGGCTGGGCTGGCCGGGCGGCCATGCATGGCTCTCTGCATGGAGGTCAGCAGAGCGGAGAGAAGTCAGCCTTGGGAGGCAGGGGTGCAGCAGCGCTCAGTCTCACCCTCCCTCACGTAGGGGTAGAGTCCTCCCCCAGCCAGTGGAGAGAGCAGCCCAGTGGCCCTGCAAAGCTCAGGACGCACAGCCCTGGGTCCTCAGTGCTTACCCTGATTTTTTTTTCTTAGAGTAAGAATATATTTAATAACAGGTAATTCACATGACAAAATTTACCATTTTCAAATGAATGCTTTGTTGGTTTTTAGTATATTCACTGTGCTTGTGCAACCATCTCCATGGTCTAATTCTAGAACATTGCCATCACCCCAGCAAGACACCCCACACTTTCTCATGTCCCTCTCCCAGAGCTCGGCCGTCGCTGTTTCACTTTCTGCTTCTGTGGATCTGCCTGTTTTGTTTGTTTATAAATGTATTTTATTTTTGTTTTTGGCTGCATTGCGTCTTTGTTGCTGTGTGCGGGCTTTCTCTAGTTGCGGTGAGCCGGGGCTACTCTTCGTTGTGGTGCGAGGGCTTCTCATTGCGGTGGCTTCTCGTTGCGGAGCACAGGCTCTAGGCATGCGGGTTTCAGTAGTTGTGGCACGTGGGTTCAGTAGTTGTGGCTCGTGGGCTCTAGAGCACAGGTTCAGTAATTGTGGCGCATAGGCTTCGTTGCTCCACAGCATGTGGGATCTTCCCAGACCAAGGCTTGAACCTGTGTCCCCTGCATTGACAGGCGGATTTTTTTTTTCTTTCTTTTTTTGCGGTACGCGGGTCTCTCACTGTTGTGGGCTCTCCCGTTGCGGAGCACAGGCTCCGGACGCGCAGGCTCAGCGGCCGTGGCTCACGGGCCCAGCCACTCTGCGGCATGTGGGATCTTCTTGGACCGGGGCACGAACCCGTGTCCCCTGCATCGGCAGGCAGACTCTCAACCACTGCACCACCAGGGAAGCCCCATCTTCCTATTTTGAGTGTTTCATTTAGATGGAATCCATGTGTGGTCCTTCCTGTATGGCTTCTTTCACGCTGCATGATGTTTTCAAGGTTTATCCAAGTCTGGCAGCTGTCACTCCTTCTTATAGCTGAGTAACGTTCCATCGTGGGCATGGACCACGTTTTGTCCATCTGTCATCAGCTGATGGACTTTTGGGTTGTTTCAGTTTTTGGCCATTTGAATAATGCTGCTGTGAACCCTCATGTGCACGTTTTTGTGTGAACGCTGTTTTCCATTCTGTTGGGCGCACACCTGGAAGAAATGGAGGGTCAAAGGGTGACTCTATGTTTAGCTTTTTGAGGAACCGCCAAACTCTTTTCCACAACAGCTGCACTGTCTCACATTCGCAGCAGCAGTGCCTTAGGGTTCCAGTTGCTCCACATCCTTGCCAGTATGTGTGATCGTCCATTTTTAAAATTACAGCCATCCTCGTGGGCGTGAAGTGTATCTCGCTGTGGTTTCATTTGCATTTCCCTGATGATTAGTCGTGTTGAGCATCTTTTTATGCGCTTATTGGCTCTTTATCCCCTTTGTTTATTTTATTTTATTGGGTTGGCCAAAAAGTTCGTTCGATGTTTTCCATAAGATGGCTCTAGTAGCATTTAGTTGTCTTTAATTTCATTCGAAACAATTTTGCTAGATTGTATTTTGACAGCTGTCATATCAGCATGCATTTAAAAAAAAAACATCAAAATTGGTGAATTTTTGTGTAGCCATTTTAATATTGAAGGTGGAAGGAAAAAAAGCAACATTTTGGGCATATTATGCTTCATTATTTCAGGAAATGTAAAAACGCAACTGAAACGCAAAAAAATATTTGTGCAGTGTATGGAGAAGGTGGTGTGACCGATCGAACATGTCAAAAGTGTTTTGTGAAGTTTGTGCTGGAGATTTCTTGCTGGACGATGCTCCACGGTCGGGTAGACCAGTTGAAGTTGATAGATATCAATCGAGACATTAATTGAGAACAATCAACGTTATACCATGAGAGAGCTAGCCGACATACTCAAAATATCCAGATCAAATGTTGAAGATCATTTGCACCAGCTTGGTTATCTTAATCACTTTGATGTTTGGGGTCCATGTAAGTTAAGTGAAAAAAATCTTCTTGACCATATTTCCACATGGATTCTCTACTGGAATGTAATGAAAACATTCCATTTTCAAAACAAATTGTGACCGGCAATGAAAAGTGGATACTGTACAATAATGTGGAATGGAAGAGATTGTGGGGCAAGCAAAATGGACCACCACCAACCACACCAAAGGCTGGTCTTCATCCAAAGAAGGTGATGTTGTATATATTGGTGGGATTGGAAGGGAGTCCTCTATTATGAGCTCCTTCCGGAAAACCAAACGATTAAATCCAACAAGTACTGTTCCCAGTGAGACCAACTGAAAGCAGCACTTGAAGAAAAGCATCCAGAATTAATCAACAGAAAATGTATAATCTTCCATCAGAATAACGGAAGACCGCATGTTTCTTTGATGACCGGGCAAAAACTGTTACAGCTTGGCTGGGAAGTTCTGATTCATCCACCGTATTCACCAGGCTTCAGATTTCCATTTATTTTGGTTTTTAACAAAATTCTCTTAATGGGAAAAATTTCAATTCCCTGGAATACTGTAAAAGGTACCTGGAACAATTCTTTGCTCAAAAAGATAAAAAGTTTTGCGAAGATGGAATTATGAAGTTGCCTGAAAAATGGCGGAGGTAGTGGAACAAAACTGTGAATATGTTGTTCAATAAAGCTCTTGATGAAAATGAAAAAGGTGTCTTTTATTTTTACTTAAAAACTGAAGTCAGTTTTTGGCCAACCCAATATTTTATTGAAGTATAGTTAATTTACAGTGTTGTGCCATTGTCTGCTGTACAGCAAAGTAACTGTTACACACATACAGACCTTTTTTTTTTTAATACTCTTTTTCATTATGGTTTGTCACAGAATACTGAATATAGTTCCCTGTGCTATACAGTAAGACCTTGTTATTTATCCATTCTGTATATAATAGTTTACATTTGCTAGTCCCACACTCCCAATCCCCTTCTCCACCTCCCCTCTCCCCCTTGGCAACCGCAAGTCTGTTCTCTGTGTCTGTGAGTCTGTTTCCGTTTTGTAGATACGTTCATTTGTGCCATATTTTAGATTACACATATAAGTGATATCAGATGGTATTTGTCTTTCTCTTTCTGACTGACTTCAGATAATAAGTCTTTCTGACTTACTTTATGATAATCTCTAGTTGCACCCATGTTGCTGCAAATGGCATTATTTCATCCTTTTTTATAGCTGAGTAATATTCCGTTGTATATATGTACCACATCTTCTTTATCCATTCATCTGTCAGTGGACATTAAGGTTGTTTCCATGGGCTGTTTATCTCCTTTGAAGAAATATTTTTCCAAATCTATGCCCGTCTTTAAATTGGGCTATTTGTCTTTATATTGCTGCTCTGCCCTAATTTACTGGGTGGCCTGGGTAAGTGTCTTCACAGTGGGAAGCTGCCCCCACCTTGGCTGTGGACAGGGATCAAAGCAGGACCTCCCTGGCCTCCTGAGCATTACAAGGATCACCCAAGGACCGTCAGCCAGGGCTCCAGCCACTGCTGCCCGGGAAGTGTGGAGCAGAGGGTACGGGAGGTGGAGGGCACACGATGGGCGTCTGTGTGCAGATGTCACACACAGATGAGGGAACACGTGAGTCCCCTGAAGCCCGTCCCTGGGGAGTTGCCATCCACTGTTCACACTTTTTTGTTTACCTATTTTATTATTATGTTTTTGAATTTTATTTTTTTATATACCAGGTCCTTATTAGTTACCCTTTTTAGTAGCATATATTAGGATATGTGTCAATCCCAATCTCCCAGTTCATCACACCACCACCTCCCACCCCCTGGCGCTTTCCCTGGTGTCTATACGTTTGTTCTCTACATATGTGTCTCAATTACTGTCCTGCAAACCAGTTCATCTGTACCGTTTTTCTAGGTTCCATATATATGTGTTAATACACGATATTTCTTTTTCTCTTTCTGACTTACTTCACTCTGTATGACAGTCTCTGGATCCGTCCACATCTCTACAAATGACCCAGTTTCATTCCTTTTTATGGCTGAGTAATATTCCATGGTATATATGTACCACATCTTCTTTATCCATTCGTCTTTTGACGGGCATTTAGGTTGCTTCCATGTCCTGGCTATTGTAAATAGTGCTGCAGTGAATATTGGGGTGCATGTGTCTTTTTGAATTATGGTTTTCTCTGGGTGTATGCCCAGTAGTGGGATTGCTGGGTCGTATGATAATTCTATATTTAGTTTTTTAAGGAACCTCCATACTGTTCTCCATAGTGGCTGTATCAATTTACATTCCCACCAACAGTGCAAGAGGGTTCCCTTTTCTCCACATTCTCGCCAGTATTTGTTGTTTGTAGATTTTCTGATGGTGCCCATTCTAACTAGTGTGAGGTGATACCTCATTGTAGTTTTGGTTTGCATTTCTCTAATAATTAGTGATGTTGAGCAGCTTTTCATATGTTTCTTGGCCATCTGTATCTCTTCTTCGGAGAAATGTCTATTTAGGTCTTCTGCCCACTTTTGGATTGGGTTGTTTTTTTAATATTGAGCTGAATGAGCTGTTTATATATTTTGGAGATTAATCCTTTGTCCGTTGATTCGTTTGCAAATATTTTCTCCCATTCTGAGGGTTGTCTTTTCGTCTTGTTTGTAGTTTGCTTTGCTTTGCAAAAGCTTTGAATTTTCATTAGGTCCCATTTGTTTGTTTTTGTTTTTATTTCCATTACTCTAGGAGGTGGATCAAAAAAGATATTGCTGTGATTTACGTCAGCGTGTTCTTCCTGTGTTTTCCTCTAAGAGTTTTATAGTGTC